ACTCGTAGGCTTGCGACTGCGCGTTTACACGAGTCTCGGTACCCTCTACAGGCAATGCGAAAGCGTCCATTACAATCATAGTGTTATCTTCAACTTTACCAAGCAGCAGACCCATAATCTCGAGAGTTCCACCTGAACGCGCATGCATTACCATCTTAAGCAATGACAATGCAGATATTTTGATATCCTTAAAATAATGAGGATCCTTTTCCCACGGCTTGGCATCGAGAATCTGTCGCTGTTGTTCGGCATCATAGCGGAAAATTTCATCGCATGCCGGCAGTGTCTTCACATTGTTCTCCAGCTCCCAAGTTTTGCGCGAGGCTTCAGCATCCATATTTAACTGCTTTAATTTATTGTAAAATAACAAATAACTACTTTTGCAAAAATGTGGCGATTTCTACTCATAAACAAGTCGCCAAACGAACTATCTGAAGAATCAGCTGTAGAGGTGCAAAAAAGATCGATTCTGACAGCGATTTTTTTAATTTTTGGTACAACATCGATGCTATGGGGCGAATTCGATGATGTTGCCGTTTTAATCCATATACTTCAAAATTGATACGTGTTTATTTGTGCAAATTTTCGGAAGATACTTTATTTTTTCGCTCATGTATGTATAAAGAGCTGACTGCATTCATTTTTATTTTACTGTACTTGTCTCACAAATAGGTCTGCGGCTGCAGCGCGTATATCTTCAGATTTAAAATTGATCCAATATGAAAAGAGAAATCAAGACCGATAGAAATAACATAAACGATAATAACGCCAATTTGTATTATTTCCGAATTGAATGTGAAATAACACAAATTTGCTTTATTTCATTTTTCGTTGAGCAATAACACCAACTTTTAAACTTAACGATTGAGTAATAAAGTAAAATATTGCAAATATGTGGTTAGTCACCCAGGTACATTTGAAAAAAAATATTACATGAACAAGTTAAATGAACGGATTAGTATGTATACAATATTTAAAGTGCCCAGCGTAGCGGCGTTCCGCGTTCGCGCGCCGCCCCGCGTCACACCACGTCACGCCGCGCCCAGCTCGTGCTCGCGTCCCCTGCCCCGTCCCCTTCTTTCGAAATTATGCAATAATGGCGCATTAAAACCGTTTAGAAAAAGAATAATAATAAAATAACACTAGTTCATATCTGAAACTGCTTTTTAATGTCTAAGGCCGAAATACAATAGCGCAGTGGCAGTGGCAGTAACAGTTTTTAAAATCAGCTGTTACCAGCACGGTCATAATGAGTGACTTATAGAGCGTGGTTTTCGTACGTCGGGAGAGGACTTTAC